TCGTGGACTTCTACCTATCGCAGCTGCTGAAGACCGCTGCAGACCCCCTTTCAAGACACTTGGACACTTTGTTCCTACATGAGATTCTGCTTCCGACTCCTTCGGACACACCAGCCTTCGCATCCTGAACAAACATTTTCATTTTTATTTTTCCTGACTTCGACAACCCTGTAGAACATCATTAGCAGATCCCTGTTTCCCTAACCATTGTCCCCCTTACCCACTAGAACATCAATAGAAATACCCTGTTTTCCTGAACACCGCTTCCCTTACCCAGTAGAACATCAATAGAAGTTCCGTGTTCCCTGAACTCTGTTCCCCCTTAACCTATAGCGAACCATGCAGTCCCCTTAGTCCATCAGTAGGACCACCCTGCTCCCTATCTTCCCTTTAGTTCATTTGTCGGACTACCCTGTTCCTTCAACCCCCCCCTAGTTCATCAGTAGGACAACTCTGTTCACCGGTACCAAACCCTGTTCCCTCTTACTCCCGCAGCCCATGCCACCCACATTATACCCCTTTTCCCTTTCGACTTGTTTACCAGTGATCGGCCCCGTCCCGTCCTTCACAGATTTCAGCATTGCTTCATGATTTTTGGCAGCTGGGACGTTGCCTTCTAGAGGGAGGGGATAGTGTTACGGACTTCGCCAGGGCTCGATCCCTGGTCTATCTTTTTGCTGTTTCAGCTGCATCCCGTTTTCGGCCTGGCACCCTTTTTCCAAACCTCTCCTTTGGTACCGTAGGATTTTGGACAACTGGCGCCATGTTGCAATTCGGGCGCCACTTTCAAATACTGCATTTTTCAGTTCTGCCCTCGGGGCCTTTGCAGAAATGCCCCTAGTACCGTACGTGTCACCGGTACTTATACCGGCTCCCCGTACGGTACGGGGACCAGTCTCGTACCAGTTCTCTGCTGCTGTACTCGTACTCAGTGTGACTTGCTGTTTTCGGCATTCGGGAATTCAAGACTTCGACTTTGTGCCGTGCCACTGTGTCTGCGTCCGATCCTCAGTCCGAGTCCGTCGTGTCGAGTGAGTGAGTGTGTGTGTGTGCTCTCACTCTCCCCCTCTCTCTCCTCTCCCTCGGCTCACCCTCAGCCTCACGCTCGTTACAGTGCGTGTGTGCGCCAACAGTCCATGATTTGGCGCACGATGTGCGCTTGTATGTATGCTTCTGTCTCATTTGTTTGCCTGTTGATCGTTGGTATAGTGATTGCTCACGCTTGGAATTCTCTGGTGTATTTGACCACGATTGCATTCAGATTCAATTGAACAAGTTGAAGTGCAAGTATGCTCTTAAAAGAATGCTAAGCAAAATGTGAGATCATTTCAGAGGGCTGTTCACCGCAGTAAGGAGTCCTGTCTATGCTTTGGAGCAAGGAGGGTGTACCAGGGGATAGGTGACAAGGGGGGTTAGTTTTGGTGTTCTGGGTATATTCCCCTTTTGTGCTCGTTAAACAGTGTGGGTCAGACTTGGTCTGCTTTTCTGTTGCGGTCTGATAGTTGTCTCCGAGGTCGCTTGCTGTCTTTTTTTCCGGTCTTAAACCACCACTACCTCTGAGCCTCTTTTTGCCGAGGCTGAGTAGAAGTGTGCGCCACGCTTTGCTGAAGCACCAGCGTGACCGTTTTACTTTCGTTTTGATTGGCGCGGGCAGCCGTCTTGGTCCGGTGGCGCCCGGCCACCGAAGAATGCGGTACAGGTTATATTTTGGTTTGGACTTCGCTTGCGTAAGGTAGTGGAGGTTTAAGGAGTCCTTTGAGAATCATAGCCTTGTGTGAAGGCCACCCTAAAAAAGACTGTGAAGCTCAGGTCTTCTAGCTTTCCCGGGCCGCCCGGCCGGGCGGCCCGGGCACCTTGCCCGGGTAGGGACCTCGGCCAGGGTACCCCGGGCATGAAAAAAGTCCACCAATTTTTTATTTTTATTTTTCGTCTGTGGGGCCTTGCTGCGCTCTCCCAACAGTCCCCAAATCCGGCCTCATTGTTTTTCTTCAGGCATATAGGTTTCAGTGTGTTGAGGGGGGGGTGCGGGGTAGGGGGAGGGGGAGATTAGGGGTTGTCCGTTCTGCAGGAGGGGGGAGGGAGACTATGGAGGAGGAGGGAGGGAGACTATGGAGGAGGAGGGAGGGAGACTGATAAGGAGGAGGAGGTGGGAGGGAGACTATGGCAGAGGAAGGGAGATTGATGTGGAGGAAAGAGGGAGCTATGGTGGAGGAAGGAGAGAGGTAAGTACGTGGAGGGCGGTTTACTGATTGAGGATGGGGGCGAGAGGGAGACTGTGGACGGAGGGTGGCTGATTTGGAGGGAGGAGATGGCGAGGAAGGAGAAAGGGAGACTGTTTGGAGGGAGGGAGACTGACGGAGGAAGAAAAATGAGGGAGTGAACGGCTATGGCCGAGCAAGGAGGTGAAAGAAGTGCTATGGCGGAGCATGAAGAAGAGGAGGACGAAGAAGAAGAAGAAAAAGAAGAGGATGAAGAAGAAGAAGAAGAAGAAGAAGAAGAAGAAGAAGAAGAATGACGAAAGAGGAATGAAAAGAAGAAAACGAAGAACTGAAGACAGTGAGAAGAGGAGGAAGAAGAAGATGACGATGGCGTAGATGGAGGGCCACAATGATGGTGTGGCTGGAGGGCGATGACGATGGCGCAGCAAGAGGGCGGCAGGGCAACAACGACAATGGCAAGGAGGACTGCGGCACGGCGACGATGGGGAGGACAACGACGGCAAGGCAACGACAAACTAGCGGGGGAGTAGTCCGGCGGAGGGCGCAGAGCCGCGCGCGAAGTCCAGAGAGTCGAATCCAAAATCTTGGGACTTCGGCGCCGTCGATCAATGCAGATCAATGGCCTACGTGGAAAGAAAAAAAAAAAACATGAGACAGGGCTACCGGACCCCAAAAAAATTCGCGGGCACCGCCAAATTTTTTGTTTCCCTCTGGGCCATAGGCCCGCGGTGCGAATTTTTTTTTTTGGCAGTTTTGGGGGGCGGCACTGAGGGGGCCCGGGTGCCTGGCCAGGGGGGTTGCACGGCCGGGCGCGCAGAGCGTCCTTCCGGGTGACCTGGGGTGGCCCGGGCACCCGGGCTGGAAAGCTAGCAGGTCTTCCCTTTTTTTTTTTTTTTTTGGGTATTCCCAGATCATTTCAGATTTGACAGAGGATTGAGGGCAAAAAGAAAAAGGGTTGTAGGCCCTTGTCCTTGTGCTTTATGCTGTGATTGAAGGAATTGAAAGGGATGGTCTCATCTCGTTTCTCGTTTCTTGATCTGCAGGGCCATTTGTTATTCTCAACGAGCATTTACAGACCGTCCTTCCTACATTTCATGATGCCATAGGGCTTCTCTTGATGATCCGGATGACCCATCAGCATCAGGTAATTCATCCAACCTCTCTGCTTTAAGCCTCTAGCCCTCTGTAGCTCATAAAAAAAAAGAAAGTTTAAGAAACTTAAAAAAGGGAATATTTTTAATGGTCGACGATCTTGAGATGTCATCTTTGAACTGACTGAGTGGAGGTATTCCAGAATGTATTTTATTGTGTTCATCAGGGTAACCGGCGTTTGGGACGTGCCAAACGCCCGAACGTCTGGGACCCCTTGGGGATGCGTTCAGCCGTTCAGGCCGAACGCAGACCCAAAAAAAAAAAAAAAAAAAAAAAAAAAAGCAATTCAAAAATATCCTAGGCTACCAGAGTGGCACGGGTCCACTTGCCCGGCCGGGCCAAAAAGAAATAAAAGAATAGAAAAATAAAAAATACTTTTTAAATTTAAATTTAATTTTAAATTTGGTAAAGAATTTTGATGTGCCCCTGAGGCAAAAGTTGTTCAGTTTATTTTTCTGCACAACACGGTTTGTTTTCGGATTTTTTGGATTTTTTTTTCCCCCCTTTTTTGGCTGGGACCTTCCCTAATCCTTGCACGGCCAGGCCGCCCGGGAAAATAGTGTGACCTGGGCGGCCGGGCTGGTAGCCTAGAAAAAATCTGAAAAAACGATGTGTTATGAAGAAACGAACGGCCGAACGCGGACCCAAAAAAAAAAAAAAAACAATTCGGAAAAATCTGAAAAAACGATGTGTTATGAAGAAAAATACAATAAACCTAGGTTACCAATAGTCCGGGGGCCGGTCGTCTCTCTCGGACGTCTCCCCCATACGTCCGGTACCCCCGTCGTCCGGGAAAGAAAGTTTTTTTTTTTCGTAAAAAAAATATATATATTTTTTTTCGGTTTTTGATTTTTAACTCATGATTGACTGCGAATTTGAACATGACTCAAAGGCAAAAGTTGGTTGTATTGTTATGTTACATAACATATTTTTTTTTCAGATTTTTCTGAGAAACTTTTTTTTTTTTTTTTTTTTNTTTTTTTTTTTTTTTTTTTTTTTTGCCTAGGTCGGACAACCCCTGTCCGGTCGGACATCCGACTAGACGTCCGGTCGGACATCCCGGACGGTCAGGGGCGTCCCGGACGTCCGATCCAACAACCTAGCAATAAACAACATTTGCCTGAGCATTACGTCCAAATTCCTTACCAAATTTGAAATAAAAATAAAATACAGAAAATAAAACTAATACAAAAATCATAGTTGCGGCGCACCTCGGTGCGCGGACTTGCACACGCGCTGCGTACCGCACCATAAAAATTAAGGTGAAAAAAAAAAGAATAAAAGTAGGGGTTGCGTAATTTACTACGGCACCCTCCCTGGAAAAAATGTCCAACTCGCTGCGCGAGTTCGGAAAATGTCCGTGCCCCTTGACCCAAAAAGTTTTTTTTGGGCAAGGGTTACCAAATTCTGAATTCTGCAGGCTGCTACCCCACAAATTTCAAAATTCTTGATTATGTAAATAGGGCTCAATGCTCATTGAGCCTCTAGGTTTTCCTTTTTGGGTGGGGTATGATAACTGGACTTCCCCTTTCCTTCTGCAAATCCCACGCAGAGGTGGACAAATTTGCAAGAAGGGTATACTTGCCCTGTATTGCCGTGGTCACGCTGTCTAGCAGATGGCACACGTAACGTTTCCTGAGTCCAGCCGACCACCAATATATGCTGAAGTTTGCCGTTCAGGTCTGCATGTTGGCTGTTATGGTTTAGGAATAAGATGCCCATAGCTCTCTCGGTTTTTCTTTTTGTTTTCTTCTGAATATGAACAGTGGTGGTGAAGATGCCTGTATCTCTCTCGTTTTTTCCTTTTTGTCTTCTTCTGAATACGTACAGTGGCCCAAGGGGCCTCTGGCCACTACTCACCACATCCACAAAAGACATACCATATGACGGTGTACGGCTCCATGTTTTAGCAGAAGATTCATTCAGATGTTATTCATTCGGTGAGTAGTACTGAGTACCAATGAGTGGTGGAGCTAGGCCCTGAGAATCACGTGGAGACACGAACAGGGTCTAGCTGAATTGGTGACCCATAACTCCCGAGCAACAGACCTGAACTCGCCCCCACAGAATATATTGGTGGTCTGCTCCCACCTCTCTCATTATGATGCGGCCACCCTGCTTGCTGAACCGACCGTAACCAATCCTCCACAATGCCGAAGTGCTGAAGTGCGTTGTGAAGGGCGTGGTGGGAGTCGTATGAGTTACCTGCAGGGGGACCTAAATTGACGAAAAGTGAACCCTTTGGTCTCTCTCTCTCTCTCTCTCTCTCTCTCTCTCTCTCTCTCTCTTTGTGGCACAAATAAGTGTTTTATTTATTATGTTTACTTTTTTCAATTTTTTTCCTTATTTTTTTTTATATATACGTATGTACTCTGTATATATATTTTTTCGTGCACCTGCCGCATCTTCCACAGCATGCGCACTGTGCACTGCGTACAGTGCACAGTGCGCGCGCTAAAATTCCTGCGCACAGCGCACTGCGCACCGCACCACCCCGCGCTGCGCACTGGTGCGCCGCAAGTATGAAAAAAAAATAAAAAAATAAGAAAAAATGAAAAGAGAATTAAAATTAGTGAGTGCGCGAGCATGTTTTCGACACCGCCATCTTTGGCGATTTTTTTTATTTTTCTTTGGCACAGCCAAATGCCCTGAAAATTTACAGACATGTACTTCACATAATACAAAACTCATTAAAAAAGTTTCAAAAAATAATTTGTTTTTTTAGGCCCCGCAATAAAGTGAAAACAAAAAGTAAAAAACGAAAAAAAAAAAAATAGTGAGTGGGCGAGCACGTTTTTGGCAAATTTTAATGTTTGTTTGGCTTAGCAAAATGACTTCAAAATTTATAGGCATGTACCTCACATCATAGAGAACTCACCAAAAAAAGCAGAAAAAAAACTTATGTTTAGGCCCCAAAATAATTTTTGGCGGGGGCCAAACGCCGTCGGGTTCGGACCCCGAACGGGACCCCGAACACCCGTACGTACGGAGGTCGGCCCGGGGACCTCCATACGTACGGGCTGGTGACCCTGGTGTTCATCTGATTGCATCCGGATTCAAACTTTGTTCTGTATTTCAACAGTTCATATGCTCGTTGGTAGTATTTCACTATTTTGAGTATTTACAGCAGGATTTTTTTGGGAAGTTTTTTTGCCTTTTGGCCTGTGCTACCAAACGTGCCGCCCGGGTCCCAAAAGCTGGCACGGACCTGCCCGGGACGACTAGCGGGGCAACTGGGCCGGGCAGGGTCCTGGCCCATATCCCATTAAAAAAAAAAAAAGAAAAAAATCAGAAACGAAACTAAAACAATATTGGAAAAAACTTCAAAAAAGTATGTTGTGCAGAATAGCTAACCAAACAACTTTTGGCTGCGGGTCACTTCCAAAATTTTTACAAAATTCGAAATAAAAATAAAATAATGCAAGGCCCTTTAAGGACATGAACCCCCTCCCGACCCTCCAAAACTGACATGAACCCTAGGCTACCAGCCGGGCCGCCCGGGTCACCCTGTTTTCCTGGGGGGCCCGGCCGTGCAAGGACTAGGCAAGGTCCCAGCCAAAAAAAAAAAAAAAAAAAAAATCTAAAAAATCTGAAAAAAATTATGTTATGCAGAAAAATTCTGAGTACGGAACCGGGCCGCCCGGCCGACCAGCGCCTGCCCGGGGGAGGTCCCGGGCGGCCTGGCCGGGCGGGTGGCCCGGTTGGGGGCCGGGCACCCCCAGCACACCCTGTCGGGGGGGGGGGTCAGACCCCGAATCCCAGGGCCTACCTGGTCCAATCAGGCCTGAAAAAAGGCGCGTCGGGCTCGTGAGGCCAGCTTTTTGTTTTTGAAATTGTGACAGCCCTCCGGCCGTCGATCATCCATGATCGACGGCCAGAGGGCCGTTTGATGTTTGGAGGGAAAACGACGACCCGTTTGAACAGCCGACTGGCTGCGGCGGCCTGCATCGGCTGTCCAAACGGGGCCTTGGTCTTCCCCCGCCGGCGCAGTTCGTGGTTCAGCCGCCTGTTGTCTCCCCCGTCGTCGTGGAGCCGCCCGTCGCCATCGCCTGGGAGCTTCACTCCCCCGTCGCCGTGGAGCCACCCGTCGCCCCTCGCCAGCGCCGTGGAGCCGCCCGTTGCCCGTCGCCGTGGAGCCGCCCGTCCCCCTCTCATCATCATCATCTTCTTCTTCTTCTTCCTCTCTCCTCCTCCTCTTCCGACTATCTTCTTTTTCTTTTTGTTTTATTCCATTCGTCAGCGATAGGTCGCGAGATAAACGACAGGTAAGAAAAAAAAAAAAAAACTGCTCCCTTCTTCTTCTTCTTCTTCTTCTCTCCTCCCCCGCCTCCCCCTCATCTTCTTCTCCTTCCTCTTCTCTCCTCCTCCTCCTCTTCCGCCCATCTTCTTCTTCTTCTTCTTCTCTCCTCCTCCTCCGCTTCCGCC